CTCTAGTATCCAAGAATTTAATTTCTTTTGTATTGATCGCTTTCTTTTTCGCCGCCAACGTGTAGATTCAGGACTAGAAGCTTCCAGCTTCACCAAAACCTACTCCCATCATCCATTCTCTATCGCCATTTCGGTTTGCAAGAATTGGTTCGAGGTGAAACAAAATCAGAGTAGAAGAAAGTGCGAATGAAGTGAATTTTTTTTAAGGTGGACCTCAACTTGCCAAGAAGTGACCCACACACTTGATTTCATGACCCTCTGTGGCACATATGGATTAAGACAGGCAAAATCTGTTAGACATTTTCATGACGGTCATCCTCGAGTATAGAATCCAGAGGTTGGCAGTGAATCTTTCGGAGACAGTAGGAAAGCGTACTTTAGGTTCGCAGAGGATATCGCAGCAGAGTGTAGTTCTTCCGTCTGTCATGTTCGCCTCACAAGTTGGCTCTGGTCATTTCGGTAAGATAAACAAAGATGGCCGCCTTTATACACGACGGATACAATGTTCTGCGGCTTCTGATTGGTCAACCTTCTATTGGTAGACTATAAAGAGAATTAAGTCATTTTGACTAACTCACTAGTTACATACATTATATACACAAAAAACCGTAACAAAATCCACATACTGCAATGGGCAGTTTATATATATATATATATATATATATATATATATATATATATATAATTTTATAATATAAAACTTTACTAATCTACTTTTTGAATGAATGATTCATTGTAATATAAATTGAACTGCACCACATATTTGATTTAAAAAGAACTGATCCGACGCGCAAATTTTCAGGATAACAACTGAGACATTCCTCTATTCATTGAACAATTTAAGTCATGCCACATTGACTGATAAACTCCTACAACAAAGAAATTCCTCAAATTCCCATATTAGTAAAAACGCACTCTTTTAGATTTTCAAAAAAAATTCAACCTTTGCGTTGCGACTGCTAACTCCAAAAGTTTGTATTCGTTATCAACAATACATTTAAAAAAAAAAATTTCGATTCGTATTATATTTTTTCTTCTCGGATGCTACCTGAATTTTATCAAAAACAAAATAATTTCCATACTTCAAGATGACTGAATGTACAGTCGAAAGTACTTGCGTATTAAAGAAAGACTTTATACAGCTTATAATTTAAAAAAAACAAGGATCATAACATTCATCGAGTGATCTGTAGGTTAATGCACCTTTGCGAAGGGATTACGCCATCATTAACTTTATTAATCTACTTTTTGTATGAATGATTCTTTGTAAATATATATATATATATATATATATATATATATATATATATATATATATGGGTGTTCCAATAACTTGGGCCGGTTTTAAATGTGAATTGGCGGACATTTGGGCGATATTATTTTTCACACATAATTGCCATGACTTAAACAACATGATTCAATAGAGAATAAATAAATTTTCACCAATAATACTGACTTATTTACAGGTGACTTTGATCCGTCTTAATGAAACACACACACACACACACACACACACACACACACACACACACACACACACACACACACACAGATATATATATATATATATATATATACCAAAGTGTAGAAGATTACAGCGTTCAGAACATTAATTTTAAAACAATGCTCAATACACAAAATAGAGCCGTAAATATTTATTTATCTTATGCAGTGTTACATTAGAACATGCACATATCCACTACAAAATTGTACATTTCTGTTTCAACGTCAAAAAAAGGAAAAACTTTTTTAGACGTTTCATCAGGTGGGGAATCACGGTGTTACTAAAATGTTACTAGCCTTCTCTCTCTATATATATATATATATATATTGGCAAATACTTTAATTGTTAAATCTGAAAGAAAAGAAAAAAGCATTAGGCGCTTAAACTTAATTCACATTTAAAATCGGTCCAAGTTATTGAACACCCTTTTATATATATATATATATATATATATATATATATATATATATATATGTATGTCAGTTATCTCTACTGGTTACTTTTAGTGATGACTAAAAACGTGCAGAGTTGAGTTAAAGGGAGTTTACTGAGACATCCGGAAGATCCATGGCACGTGGAACTAGAACAATCTAATCCAGTCGACGAAATGAAGTGTTTAGTTCGAAATCCCTATCACCTGAAGAAGTCCGAAGCATACAACAGTCGAAGCGTCGTGAATATCACGACAAAGATGAGGACAACAGTCCGAACAATGTAACTAGAATAAACAATTACAATAGTTCATCGCAAAAATACAGAAAGGTAAATCTGTTTATTATAAAATCTTTGAAAAATAAAACTTTTTCGAAACGTAATATGAAAAAAATTAGCTTAAAAATTACATTATTCGGACTATTGTCCTCATCTTTGTCGCCATATTTATTACAACGTTTCGGCCGTTGTATGCTCCGACCTTCTTCAGGTGGTTGGAATGTCAAACTGAACCCTTTATTTCGCTCACTCGGGTAGACTGTTCTTATTCCACGTGCCATGGATGTCAGTTATCAGTTATCTCCTATTAATTTCGCTCTGCCTTAACCGGGTATTGAACTCACACTCTTTGGGTCCTGTCACTGGATCTAACCAACGCCTTTATCCGCTGTGCCATGTGTCCTTGAGGAAACGTTGTAATAAATATGGCGACAAAGATGAGGACAATAGTCCGAATAATGTAAATAATGTACATAATACCTCATCTCTGAAATATAGACAGATACTGAAAGGCCGAAACGTTGTGATAAATATGGTAACAAAGATGAGGACAATAGTCCGAATAATGTAAATAGTGTACATAATACCTCATCTCAGAAATATAGACAGATACTGAAAGGCCGAAACATTGTAATAAATATGGCGACAAAGATGAGGACAATAGTCCGAATAATGTAAATAGTGTACATAATACCTCATCTCAGTAATATAGACAGATACTGAAAGGCCGAAACATTGTAATAAATATGGCGACAAAGATGAGGACAACAGTCCGAATAATGTAAATAATGTACATAGAAATGTAGACAGATGCTTAAAAATTAGTTTAAATATCGCACAAAAATAGATTTTTTAACATGCAGTTGGGTATTTTATTGAGGTTTGATGTTCTGAGGATTTATCTAAAGAGGTGGGGATAGATGTCATATTATATGATCAATACAAAATTAAACGCCTTACTATGAAAACATTTGTTGAGGAAATGTTAGAAGACTACCGATATAAGCTAAACGCATACACTTTAGGGCAGGTTGCTTTTTTATCTTATTTCTTTTTAGAAAATCGACATTATACTTTGTGTGAAAGCTGCAGTTTGGTGTGATAATTACTGACACCAAAATTTAGATTCATATCTTTAACAAATTTTTGAGCATTTCATTCTCAGGATCGTCTGAAAAAAATGTACCCAATGTCCGCAGGTTTTTGCTTACAGACTGACTTCAAAACTTTAACTCGGGTCACAAAATATCATACGGAAACCCGAAGACGTGTTTGAATGGAGAAAGATGCCTTCCAAAAGTTAAGAAAACGATTAAGAAACAGGAAAATTTAAATAGAAAAAAGAACTGCTGAACGTTGATGTAATATCAGTTCTCGTATTAGGGCAAGCTGATATTTTATTTTACTTAGAAAATCATCATTGCACTCGATGTGAAACCTGAAAGTTCATATCATAAATATTGTCACCAAAGATTAGATTCATAGCTCTTAGCAATTTTTGAGCATTTAGTTTTAAATATCATCTGAGACATGTACAGAAATACTTAATTCCCACAGTTTTTTGCTTAGAAACTGACTTCAACATTTTACTATTTCAAGAATAAATCTAAATAAATTGATATATTTTTGTATTAGATACATTGAATGAAAAATATATTCAAACCAGAATTCTAATTATGAATCACCATAAGCAGAATATGCAGTTTTTTTAAATGATATTCGATAAGTGAAGACTGTCTAAAAAAATTGTAAAAGACTACAAAAAAGGCTACTCAATGAATAAGATTTGTTAGATCGTTTGTTAGATCATAATTAATAAAAACAAAAAATATATAAATGTGTATATAACACTATTACACTGCTGGGTACAAATTATAAGACAAAATGTTTTAAATTTGCATTGTTTATCGAAAATCACACAAAAACTACAGCACTGTATAACATATTACATCATAATATAGCTAAATTGTTTAGTATAAATTTCTTTTGATGTTGTTATTGAATGGCAGAAAGATTTAGTAATAATCCTCTTTGTGCCGTGAATCTTGTCCATATAGAATATGTAAAGCTTTACTAAATTATAAATTTTATAAGGCCTTCACAAATCTCCAGAAAAAAAATTCCAATGCTACGATTTTGAACTTAAAATTATTATTTTAAACTTTTTTCCTCTAAAAACGGTAAAGATTTGGAAAAGGATATTTTGTTTCATTATCATTTGAACCCGCAACATTCAAATCGAGAGCAATACCACGGTTCTATAATCAACCTCTTCCCTAATGTCCAATAGATGCAAAGGGGTTTTTAAAATTGCTTTTAAAACCGCTTAAAATGTACGTCTTTAGGAGCCATCAGTCATTAGTATCAGTTTCAGGATAAATATGATCATCAAATGTTGGAATAAAATAGTTTAACAAATTCAACTAATTTGTAAGGCTGACTGACATATTTGGGTCCTACTAAATCAAAAGACATTATTCCTCCGCACACACAGAGGAATATATGCTAAAAAGAAAAGAATTTGGTTTAATTCTCAAAAGCCTTGTCGCAAAATTAAAGTGGTAACAAGGAAATTCCAACGGCACGGTTTCGAACCTAGACTTAATCTTGTAAAATCATTTCCTCAAAAAACGGTAACAATTTTGAAAAAAAATTTTTTATGTCATTATTTATCATTTTAAATCCAAACTTGCAAATTGAGTGCGGTGCCATGGTTTCAAAATCGATCCTCTGCCCTATTCTTCTATATGTCTCTTTCTGTATCTCTTTTCCCTCACGTTTTCAGTTACTCTCTTTCTTTCTTTTCCTATCGTTCTTCCTTTCTTTCTGTTTTTCTTTCTTTCACTGACTCTCCCTATCTATCTCTCTCTCTCTCTCACTGACTCTCTCTCTCTCTCTCATGTCTCTATCTATTTTCTTCTTTCTTTCAACACGCCTCCCTTTCTACTCTCTCAATTCTTTTAATTCAGTTTCTTCCGTTTTCTTTCTTTCTTTCTTTCTTTCTTTCTTTCTTTCTTTCTTTCTTTCTTTCTTTCTTTCTTTGCCGTCTCCCCTTTCTCTTCTTCTTCGTAAACCATTCAATCTTTCCTCGTTTTTTCTTTTTCTCACATCTTTTTGTATCTCCTTACAATCGATCTTCCTCTGCTTCGATCTGTCTTTCTTTCTCTTAGTATTTGTCTTTCTTTAACGTCTCTCCTCTTTCTCAAAAGCCAATTTCTTCTTCATCATCTTCTTCTTTTTCTTCTTCTTCTTCTTCGTCGTCGTCATCGTAGTCTTCTTTTTCGTCTAATTCTTCTTCGTCTTCGTATTCTTCTTATTCTTCTTCTTCGTTGTCTTCTCCGTCTTCATCTTCTTCTTCTTCTTCTTCTGTGCCTTCTTCTTCGTCGTCGTCTTCTTCTTCTTCTTCTTCTTCATTGTCTTCTCCGTCTTCATCTTCTTCTTCTTCTGTGCCTTGCACTCCAGGATCATTTCCCGACTTATTCAAGATGATCTTCGCCCACTCTAACCTTTTAACTTTCTGTCCTGGAGTAACAAGGTAAGATATGTTATGGTGAATGTGTGGACAATTTTTTACTTACCCTCGTACAAGCTAGCTCTTTTTCGTCCGCTGAGCAATTATAGCTTGCTCAGTGAAAGAATCTGCTAGAAGGTTATGGTTCTGTAGATTTGTTGCGGCCCTGTGTCTGACTATCCTACGTTTAGTAAATCTTACAATGTATATTTTCTGTTTATCCGTCTGTTGCTGTATTTTATCTTTGCAAAGACCTCACGCTTCTTCTTTCAGTAGATTTCCTCAACCTATTCTGCCGGTTGCTTCTGATTAATCGGAAGCTAAACTTGCAGAAAACGCTCTGGGACAAGACTCACCTCAAAGACATCCGGTCCAGGCCGATCGACAGTGAAATTCGAAACGCGAAAACCGTGGTCCGAGGCCGCCATTAACCCCGGGGCCAGGCGAAAAAGAAAAGACCTGAAAAGCGATAGAACGAGCGAATGATCGTCGTCGGCTTGCACAAAAGAGGAACCCGCGGATTTACACGGACCTCGCTAATAACGTGGACAGGTGTCACGTGACGACCGGGTTTCCTTCGTTCAAGAACGTCACTTCCTGTCTCATCTGGTTCGTTCGATTCTCGGTCACCAACGGAAGTCGGTGACGTCGGCACTTTCGGGGTACTTCGTTTTTCTTTCTTTCTGCTTTTCGTCACGATACACTTTTAGACCTAGATAAATACATAAAGGCAAAGGTTCATATATATATATATATATATATATATATATATATATATATATATATATATATATATAGAGAGAGAGAGAGGGGAGAGAGAGGAAAAAGGAGACAGGGAGAAAGAGGAAGAGAGGGAACGAGAGAGAGAAATGAGATAAACATTTGATATGATAATATATATATTACTATGAATATATATGCACACACATATACAGACATATATATGTGTGTGTGTGTGTGTGTAGAGAGAGAGAGAGAGAGAGGGGAAAGAGAGAGAGAGAGAGGGGAAAGAGAGAGAGAGAAAGAGAGAGAGAGAAAGAAAGTGAGAGAGAAATGAAATAAACTTGAACATTTGATATAATAATATATATTACCATGCACATAAGCACGCGCGCGCACACACAGAGAATATATATATATATATATATATATATATATATATAGAGAGAGAGAGAGAGAGGGGGGAGAGAGAAAGAAAGAAAAAAGTGTGAAAGAGAGAAAAGAATGAAATAAATTTGAATATTAGATATGATAATATATTAGCATGAACTTACGCGCGCGCACCCACATACATACTCTACACACACACACACACACACACACACACACACACACATATATATATATATATATATACATACACTACAAACATACATATATATCCATATATATATTTGTTTACATGAGTTGATGCAAATATATATGTTAGCTTTATCACTGATTTTGAGCGCTCTCCAGTAAGTACTGCGCATATAGAATATATAAATAATATATATATAGGAATTTCATATATATATATATATATATATATATATTTCTATACATACATATGTATATATATATATATATATATATATATATATATATATATATATATATATTACATTTACATAGATAAAGATCTTCGTAAGTTGTGGTCTGTACTTGTGAGAACAATTATTTGTGTTTATTTAAGACATGGATTCCTTCATTGAGTCCATTGGAATTGTTTCCAATCAATCCGAGGGTTCCAACACTAACAGAAATTGTTCATGTCCTCATGCGCCACCATTTTTTAGCTTTCGATTTAAAGGTCCTTCTGTTTTGATAGTTTTTTGAAGATCTTCAAAAATACATTGTAGCCTGCAAGGACTGCTATGTCAATGAGGAGGCACATTTTGTTTTTGCGGTCTCTAATAACGATGTCTGGACTATTAACTTTCATTGTTCTGTCTGTGTGCCTTGTAAAGTTTCATAAAATTATTACAGGGCCTATGTCTGTAATCGCGTCTGGTTGGTGCTCATACCAAATTTCTTGCAGTTTTCGTAAAACTTGCAGATTTTCCAATGCAGATATTGGCACACTCTTTCATGCCAGGTTTTATATTCAGTGGGTGAATACCGTGCAACCTGATAAAAAACGATCAATTGTTTCTGGATATTTATCACAGAATCTGCATTTTGGGATAACAGAATTTTTCAGTATGTGTCCTTGCTAATTTCCAGTTAGTAAGCCTTGGTCCTGTTGAGCAAGAGTAAAACCTTTGGTTTCAGCTTTTAACCCTGCACTACGTAGCCACCAATGGGTCCGGGTTTTTGTCTACATCAGTTTGTTTGGTAAGGGCAGAATATTAACAGTGAAGAGGTTTATCTTACCATCGTTTCTATATTTGATCTAGTCCATTTGCTTTTTCTTTTTTAAAGGTTTTTGCAGTTGCAGTCGGTGTATTATGTTTTAGTTGCATTTCTTCACCCACTTGAAACTCCATTTTGAATTGGTTGGCTTACTTTATTATTGAATAAAGTTTATTACTTCTTTCATGTTCTTTGACACAGATCATCATCCAGTCTTTTGTAGTTTCCAGGTATCTTTGAAGGCCGAATGATGTGGTTTTGTAACACAGTTCTAGTTGAACTAATCCTCTGCCTCCTTCGGATCTGGACACATACAGACGATCACCCTCAGATTATTATTATTATTAAGTAAAGAGAGGAAAGTAGAAAGGCTAATCTCATCGTAGTGATGGTGATGGTGTAAGACCTGCCATTTATTATCATTATTATTATTAGTAGTAGTATTAGCAGTAGTAGTAGTAGTAGTAGTATTAACTAAAGAGAAAAAAAGGAAAATGTTTGTACTCTCATCGTAGTAGTGGTGATCCTGTTAGACCTGCCGATTATTATTATTATTATTATTATTAAAGAGAGGAAAAGTGAAATACTGTGCTTTGTGTTTCTTTCGTTTGTTATTCTGTTCGATCGAAGAGGATTCCAGGAATTATTCCTCTTTGGAAGATACCATTTTTGGTGAAGTTGTAATTTATCGGAAATTGACAGAAAAGCTTTTTTTTCGGATACTTTGGAAAGGAAGACAGAAAAAAAATCGAACTGATTTATCGACACTTTTTTTCGGAAGACATAGAAATAAATAAAAAATTCCGAAAATTAAAAACAATATGAATTTTTTTTTCACTTGATTTTAAGCGTAAAAAGAATCGTCTTCTTTGGCAACAGATGTTTGACTTCAATTTGTTTACTGCAAGTGACAATAGAAATTGCCTACCGGAAGTGTATCCTATTGAAATGGATGTCTTCCATATCGGAAAAACATCAAGAAAACATCGGGTAGGGGAGGGCCTCTTTCGAAATCCTCTTTTGCGTCTTGGAAGATTGGAATGTTTTTTAAAAAATTTTTCCCAAATTTTCATACACAAACTTTTATCTCAGGATTTTTCTTTCTCTCATTTTTAATGCTCTTTTTTTCTCTTTCTTCTTTGTACATTTTTTCTTTCTCTTTTACATTTTCTTTTTCAGTTTATTCGCTACCTATTTTAATTCTGCTTTCCTTCTTTCTATCTTTCTTTCTATCTTTCTTTCACACCCTTCTTTTGGTTTTCTTCCTTTATTTCTTTTTTCTTTCACACAGTTCTTTCTTTCTTTTTTCTTTCTTTCTTTCACACAGTTCTTTCTTTCTTTCTTTTGTCTTTCTTTCTTTCTTTCTTTTTCACATATTTCTTTCTATATTTCACAGGGTTCTTCTCTTCTTTCTTTCTTTCTTTCTTTCTTTCTTTCGCATCCTTTCTTTCTTTCTTTCTTTCTTTCTTTCTTTCGCATCCTTCTTTCTTTCAAACCCTTCTTTTTGCTTTCTTTCTTTCTTTTTTGCATATTTCTTTCTATATTTCACACGGTTCTTCTCTTCTCTTCTTTCTTTCTTTCTTTCTTTCTTTCTTTCTTTCTTTCTTTCTTTCTTTCTTTCACACTCTTCTTCCTTTCACACCCTTCTTTCTTTCTTTTCTTTTCTTTCTTTCTTTATCTTTTTCACCTGATTTATCAATTTTCGTTACCTACTTGAAATTTTATTATTATTTTAAGTTTTACCACCAAGAAAAAAATCTTCCGTATTTTTCCACTTTTCTTTTTGTTTTCTTTCTCCATTTTTTATGCGACATTTACTTTCTTTTGACACTTTTCCTCTTCCGTTTTCTTCCTTTTTCTTTGTTTCCCTCTCCTTCTTCTTCTTCTTCTTCTTCTTCTTCTTCTTCTTTTCAACTTATTTCTCACTCTCTCTTATTCATTACTACTTCTCTTTCTTCTTCAGCCTCTGCGAATCTCTTTCTTCTCAACGGAGACAAAGTGGTATCAACAATTCTTCCCGCATCTAACCTTCTTTTCCCAGTTTTCCTTTTCTTTATTTTTCTTTCTCTTCTTTTTCTATTCTTTCGTCCTTCTTTTTCTTTTATTTTTCTCTTCTTTTTCTTTTTTTTTACTCTTCCTTTACCCTTCTTTTTCTTTTCTTTTTCTCTTCTTTTTCTATTTCTTTTTCTCTTTTTTTCTCTTCTTTTTTTTTCCAGCTTTCTTTTTCACTCTAATTTTTTTTCCTTCTCCGTTTCTTCTGTAATAAAACCGAACCAACATTGTTTTTTGACAACCTTAAATCAAAACAAACAAAACAGGTTTTTTATTTACAAATAAATTTTATCATATGTACATGGAAAAAATATATATATATATATATATATATATATATATATATATATATATATATATATATATATATATGATTCGATTGTCCTGTCGATGGGGTCTGGAATAAGACATGATCAAAATGCCTCCTTTTACGTTTGCTTTCAATTAATTTATTTCTTACATCTCTTTCTCTTCCTTTCATTTCATTTATTTCACAAAACTTCAACAACAATTCCGTTTTTGTAATCTACAATAATAATTTTCTCCCTTCTTTCTCTGTTCCACCATCTTGCCGCCATCTGTTCCCTCCCACTACTACTACTATTTGCAGTGTATTAATAAACTCTTTTCTTTTCAAGAAACCTCCTGCCCAGCATTTCTTTAAGATGACGACTATTAATTTCAACAATAATATTAGTTTAAAGCTAATGAAAACGGCTCCAACGCTATGCTACAAAGGAATCTTTCTTTAAGTCACTTTTTACTTCATTCAAAAATGTCGAGGCTATTTCATTTCTTCGTATATGTTCGCTATAAAGCAGAATTTACCGGAAGTAGTGAAGTCATCAGTTAGTAACGCAGACACAAAAGAGACCGAACAATATGTAAATGTGTGTTTGCCTGTATGCGCGCGCATGGCAGAAACACAGAATAAATAATATATATATTTAAAAAATAGTGTAAAATAAAATATTTGCCCTTTTTCTTTCAAATTACAGCATTTATTATTGAACGAAAACTTATTATCTTCTTTCCCAATCTGGAAAATAACTTTTCGCACAACGGCAAATGTTGCAAGTTGTTTACGGAAAATAACGAAGAAAGCCGCTTGTCGGAAATCTGTCATTGTCTTAACAGACGACTCGTATGGGAGAGCCTAGTTTGCTTGATGGCTGAATGGTTACAGCATGGGACGGAAAACAGAGAGGTTTCAAGTTTTTACAGGAGTCGAGCAAAAAAGCATCAATAATATAAATTCCCATTTATTGATTAAATAATAAAAAAAAATTATATATATATATATATATATGTGTGTGTGTGTGTGTGTGTGTGTGTGTGTGTGTGTGTGTGTATCATTTTTTCGAAAATTATAACATAAAAAATTTATAAAATCACGACAAAAATACCCATTTTGTTTCAACACTTCTGGTGTCTTTTCAAGTGATGGTGTTGAATGTAGAATAAAGGGTTTTAAAAAGTTCAAATCAGTTAAATATTCTTCGCTTATTTATTTAATGCTTTAATGTTAAGGTTAGACCTAAATAGAATTCATTCTAACTAATAAATATTAAATTATACTATAAAATTAAAAATTACCAATTTTAAATTTCAAATTTAATCTATATTAATTTTAAAATTATAAAATTATTTAAAGAAGAAACTGAGGAAAAAATACATATGTTTTTATTTATTTATTTTGTTTTTTTTTTTTAAATTAAGTTGGAATAAACATTAAGATCTAATGCTGCTCTGAACTCCGTGTCAACTTAGATATATTTGAAGTGAAGACATGGACAGGGGAGGATGAAATCTTGCAAAAGGCAATACACACAGATTAGATCAGATTATAATACACAAACACGTAGACATATTTGGATATATAAACACGCAAAAAAGCAACGAGACTGGAAATATGTCCACGACCCTTAAGAAAAAAAAAAAAAAAAAAAACGACAACATATATTTTCCCTATTCTGTATTGAGCACACTTTTAAGAACAGTATGTATTGCTTATTAATTTATTCGTATACACCAATCCTATCCTATATATATATATATATATATATATATATATATATATATATATATATATATATATGAGTATAGGATTGGTGTATAGTTGCGTTGAGTTTGTGAGCCTGTTTCAATGTTTGGTCGAATGTGCAATAAGCAGAGCCTCATTTTTTCTTCAGTTAACCATAGTCTTTCTTACTTCTTATTTTTGATGTTATTTATGGCCGAGAAGCCTAATTCACATAAATAAGAAGTAGAAATATGCAATAAAACTGAAATAGCCTTTTTAGCTAACGTGGGATATTGCTTTTGTAATGAAATCCAAAATGTATCGATTACCGTCGAATGTTTATTTGAAAATAAAGTTTAATACTTATTCAAATACTAACAGTGTTCCATTACTACTTCCACACGTGTGTAATAATATATATATATATATATATATATATATATATATATATATATATATATATATATATATATATGCCGTTACAACATCCGCACAATGATCATTTAAAATCTTTTAAAATACAAACCAAGAAATGTTAAACTCCCAGACTCAATATTTTTCTTATTCTGTTACTTTAACTGAAAAAAAACATTCTTTAGGCAATTTCAGTCACCAAGGAAAGCAGTTGATGCCAATTATCAAATAACAGTATATTTAAATTTCACAATTATGTTGTCACATCCTGCTATGGCAACAATTTAAAAAACAGACTTGATTTAAATTGAGATCAAGGCTACTGCATTTTGAATTTGAGGAGCCATCATATATAGTGGAAGAAGAAGTAATACTTATAAAATAATGTAGAGTGCTAAAAGTTAAATAATTCCATTTAAAATTCATACTTGTTGATGAATATTTTGATTGCCTGAGCAATGATCTGGATCCTCCTCTTCATTATCAACAGCAAGACTTGATTGTTTTGTCAGCGAAAGTCTTATTTGCAAGTAATTCAGCTTGAAAGCTTATTTGTTGGATATTATCTTTTAAAAACAAAACCCCAAATGAATGTTTTAGAGTTAAATATTCTAAGATCAAACAGAAATTATAGAACCAATTGAATAGCCAGCTGGTAATCATTTTAAGAAAAAGTCATTTTCTAATAATTTATAATGTATCTACTCAGTTTCTTTCTTTTTCTTCTCTTTATATGAGTTTTTCACTTTCTGACTAAAGCACTCCCCAAATCTCATCCCCTTGACACTTTGGCAACAATGTTGTGAATTTGATGACAATAATGATGATCAATTTCACTTTCTTGTTAATCAGAGTTTACTTACCTGAAAATTGTATTTTTTAGAGCTGAATTTATTGGAATAAATCTAACGCTTTCTATCTGAAAGTGCTGTGTTTCTTGACCTTTTTAAACAATGGCACACCTAGGAGTAAATGAAAATATCACAGCACTCTTAGCAAAATTTTTAAAGGGTATATATTTAAATGTATTTTAAAAATACCCACACAAGTATGAACTTACTTTATTTCAATGTTTCTATTCAACTGTTTGTGCAGCTTATTTAGTGTGAAAACTGTGCCTAGTGATTTTTTTTGTTTTGATTTAATATTTGGTTGAATGTGCAATAAGCAGACCTTCATTCCTTCTTCCGTTAATCACAGTCTTTCTCACTTCTTATTTTTGATGTCATTTTGGATTGAGAAGCCTAATTCACATAAATAAGAAGTAGAAATATGCAATAAAACTGATAACGCCTTTTCAGCTAATGTAGGATATTGCTTTTGTATTAAACTCTAAAAGGTATCAATGGGTACCGTTGGATATTTTATTTTGAGCCCTCGATCACTAGAAATGGTGGCCAAATCTTCACATAACTGACATTTACGAAAGGATTTTGAATAAATTAGGAATAAATCTATCTGATTTCTATCTGTGTGTTTCTTGACACTTTTAAGCAATGGCAGACCTAGAAGCAAATAAAAATATCACAGGACAAAATTTTTAAAACGTATACATGTTATGAAGGGTAAAGTTATCGTTTTTATTACGAAAATGGACGATCAAACGGAAATGCATTTCGTGCATTTCGCTATTTATGGAGTCAGCATAATCGACCAATCAAAAGTGAAATTGGAAACGAAGTAACATTTTTGTGGAGAGGTTCAATTCCTGTGCGCGATGACGAATAGAGGGGGTCTGGATTTTCGCCCACATTCTCGTGCACTGCAGCAATGTTTTCAGTTGAATGGCGTAAACGAGCACACGATGGTGTTTTCACATCTGCAACCGATCGAGTTTGTTTGAATTTACGAACAATTTTACCAATTACACTCTTGAAACTTTAACACGTTGTTTGATTGTTAATCTTTCCATGGTTGAAATTGCCAAAGTTGTTAAATCTGAAAGAAAAAGATCATTAGACCCTTAAACTTAATTCACATTTAAAATCGGTCCAAGTTATTTGAACACCCTTTATATTGAACAAATATGTAAACGCGTACCTACGTATATGTGTGTATGTATGTATGAGTGAATGTGAGCTTATCTGACGGCGCAGACGGCCGATTTGAAAAACGTCAACACCACCCCTGTTCCTTGTTAAATGAATATTGCTACATATGTAACGCCGGAGTCTCGACACCGAAATAGAATGTCATTATATATATATATATATATATATATATATATATATATATATATATATATATATATATATATATATATATATATATATATATATATATATATATATATATATATATATATATATATATATATATATATATATATATATATATATGCTTGAACGCATGAATGTGTAACTACGCGTAACCTCGGATTGTTTATATGGGTGTGTCTGAAGGAACTAAAATGCAAACACCTGTACGTATGTGTGTCTATGTACGTGAGAGTGTCATCCCAAATAAACACAGAAGAAAATTCCCCTCCTACACTGTACACAAATAATCAAAAAAAAAAATATTAAAAAAAAAACATAAATAGATCCAATTTTTAAGTAAATAAACCACTTTGTCTAATGATCACAAAACGTGAAACCTGGGATTACAAACTAATATCCATGCAAATGAATATATATATATATATATATATATATATATTGAGAATTGTGATCTCTTACTTCTTGAAGACGCAGTACCTTATCAGTATTCTTTAATGAAACGTGTATATGTAGTGAACCCAGATCAATTGAACATGTCTATGAACACAGTCTATTCATCATCTATCTATCTATCTATCTATCTATCTATCTATCTATCTCTCTCTGTTCTATCTATATCTCTCTGTTCATATCTATCTATCTATCTATCTATCTATCTATCTATCTATCTATCTATCTATCTATCTCATTCTGTTACTATCTATATAGCTATCTCGTCCTGTTCATATCTATCTATCTATCTATCTATCTATCTATCTATCTATCTATCTATCTATCTATCTCATTCTGTTACTATCTATATAGCTATCTCGTCCTGTTCTTATCTATCTATCTATCTATCATGAATCTCAATCTATCTATCTATCTATATTATCTATCTCGAAGATAGGGATCGTAGAAGAAAATAAAACTGCTTTATCTCATATAGCTATTCGTCCTGTCCAGTAATGGCCTTGTGCCAGACACAATTAAAGCTTTGCCCGTATCAAAATATCTATTTCATCACACACACATCTATCTATCTATCATCTATCATATATGTATATATATATATATATTTTAATGTAAACAGCACCTGTCACAGCTTTAGTTTCATTCTAACGCATTCTTTTCAAATGCTGACCGCTCTTTGAAGATAACGACCTGGCTGGAGCACTTACCCCTGAATAGTGATTTTCGAGGAATCCTAGGGAATGATATCCCAGTTTATATAAACTTTATTATTGGATCTTCTTTTCCGAAGATAGGGATCGTAGAAGAAAATAAAACTGCTTTGCAGTCATAGTGGTTTTGATTCTCCTCGAGTAACACACAGTAATGGCCTTTTGCCAGACATAATAAAATAATAATAATTGTAAGGTCTTTGCTCTTCGTACGTAACCCAAAATATTTCTTTTCGTTATTTACAATAAAATAACGTTTTCGCACAAACGCAGAGGCACACACACACACACACACACACACACACACACACACACACACACACAATATAATAATGGCACACACACACACATGCAATATAGTCTTTTATATATATATATATAATAATAATGGCAGGTCTAGCACTGTCACACTGCAACGATAATACAGTCTTTCAAATTCCCTCTTTACTTTAATAATAATAAATAATAATAATGGCAGGTCTAACACCATCACCACTGCAACGATGAAGAGTACAGTCTTTCTCCTTTCCCTTTACTTAATAATAATAATAATAATAATAATAATGGCAGGTCTAACACCATCCTGCAACGATGAAATTAAGAAAAATCAACTGCAACGACAGTCTTTCTCGACACTCTTTATTTAATAATAATAATAATAATAATGCATCACCACTGCAACGATGAGAGTACAGTCTTTCTCCTTTCCTCCTCTTTACTTAATAATATAATAATAATAATAATAATAAAGGTCTAAACCATCACCACTGCAACGATGAGGAGCAGTCTTTATCCCTTTAATAATAATAATAATAATCAGGTCAACACCAACCACTGCAACCCCAGCTTTCTCCTTTCAACTTTACTTAATAATAATAATAATAATAATAATAAGAAGGTCTAACACCATCAGAACTGCAACGATGAGGAGAGTCTTTCTCCTTTCCTCTCTTTCTTAATAATAATAATAATAATAATAATAATGGCAGGTCTAACACCATCAATACTGCAACGATGAGAGTACAGTCTTTCTCCTTTCCTCTCTTTTAATAATAATAATAATAATAATAATAACCTAACACCATCACCACTGCAACGAATACAGTCTTCCTAATCCTCTCTTTACTTAATAATAATAATAATAATAATAATGAGGTCTAACACCATCACCATGCAACGATGAGAGTACAGTCTTTCTCTTTCCTCTCTTTACTTAATAATAATAATAATAATAATAATGGCAGGTCTATTATCATCACCACTGCAACGATGAGAGTACAGTCTTTCTCCTTTCCTCTCTTTACTTAATAATAATAATAATAATAATAATAATGGCAGGTCTAACAATAATGCAAATGAGAGAGTACAGCTTACTGCAAATGAGAGTACACTCTCTTTCCTTCTTCTTTACTTAATAATAATAATCTAACACCATCACCACTGCAACGATGAGAGTACAGTCTTTCTCCTTTCCTCTCTTTTTCTTAATAATAATAATAATAATAATGGCAGGTCTATTATCATCACCACTGCAACGATGAGACAGTCTTTCTCCTTTCCTTTCTTTACTTAATAATAATAATAATAATAATAATAATTTCTCCTGTCCCTCTTACAGTCTTTCTCTTTTCCTTTTACTTAATAATAATAATAATAATAATAATGGCAGGTCTAACACCATCACCACTGCAACGATGAGAGTACAGCTACTTAATAATAATAATAATAATAATAATAATGAGGAGTCACAGTGCAACGATGAGAGTACAATTTCTCCTTTCCTCTCTTTACTTAATAATAATAATAATAATAATAATGGCAGGTCTAACACCATCACCACTGCAACGATGAGAGTACAGTCTTTCTCCTTTCCTCTCTTTACTTAATAATAATAATAATAATAATAATAATGGCAGGTCTAACACCATCACCACTGCAACGATGAGAGTACAGTCTTTCTCCTTTCCTCTCTTTACTTAATAATAATAATAATAATAATTTTAATATCACCAACCACTGCAACGATTTTGATCTTTCTCCACTCTTTACTTAATAATAATAATAATAATAATAATAATGGCAGGTCTTAACACCATGAGCAACGATGAGAGTACAGTCTTTCTCCTTTCCTCTCTTTACTTAATAATAATAATAAATAATAATAATGGCAGGTCTAACACCATCACCACTGCAACGATGAGAGTACAGTCTTTTTCTTTGTTTTTTACTTAATTTAATAATAATAATAAAGGTCTATCACCACTGCAACGATGAAGTACAGTCTTTCTTCTTTAATAATAATAATAATGGCTGATCTAACACCATACTTCTTTAATAATAATAATAATGGCAGGTTCTTCTTTGATCCTTTTCCCTCTCTTTTAACGATAATAATAATAATAATAATAAGTCTAACACCAATAACTACTACGATGAGAGGTCTTTATTCCTCTTTACTTAATAATAATAATAATGGCAGGTCTACGATCAGGTCTAACACCTTTACCTTAATAATAATACTACTTTAATAATGGCACAGTCTTTCTCCTGTCCTCTTTACTTAATAATAATAATAATAATAATAATAATAATGGCTGATCTAACACCATCACCACTGCAACGATGAGAGTACAGTCTTTCTCCTTTTCCTCTCTTTACTTAATAATAATAATAATAATAATACCACTGCAACGATGGTCTTTCTCCAGGTCTTTACTTTAATCTAATAATAATAATAATAATGGCAGGTCTAACACCATACGACGATGAGAGTACAGTCTTTTCCTTTCCTCTCTTTACTTAATAATAATAATAATAATAATAATAATGGCTTTGATCTCAACACAACATCAGTCTTTCTCTTTCTTCTCTTAATACGATAATAATAATGGCAGGTCTAACACCATCTTTCTCCTTTCTTTACTCTTTACTGCAACGATTAATCTTTAATAATAATAATAATAATAATGGCAGGTCTATTACCATCACCACTGCAACGATGTCTTTTTTCTCCTTTCCTCCTGTCTTAATCTTTACTAATAATAATAATAATAATCAATGCAACGATGAGAGTAATAATTCCTCTCTTTGATCTAACACCATCACCACTGCTACGATGAGAGTACAGTCTTTCTCCTTTCCTCTCTTTTACTTAATAATAATAATAATAATAATAATAATGGCAGGTCTATTATCATCACCACTACTACGATGAGAGTACAGTCTTTCTCCTGTCCTCTCTTTACTTAATAATAATAATAATAATAATAATAATAATAATAATGGCTGATCTAACACCATCACCACTGCTACGATGAGAGTACAGTCTTTCTCCTTTCCTCTCTTTACTTAATAATAATAATAATAATAATAATGGCAGGTCTAACACCATCACCACTACTACGATGAGAGTACAGTCTTTCTCCTTTCCTCTCTTTACTTAATAATAATAATAATGGTAGGTCTAATACCATCACCACTACTACGATGAGAGTACAGTCTTTCTCCTTTCCTCTCTTTATTTAATAATAATAATAATAATAATAATAATAATAATGACAGGTCTAATACCATCATCACCACTGCGATGAGAGTACAGTATTCTTCTTTCCTCTCTTTACTTAATAATAATAATAATAATATGCTGACTGTATTTAGTAGGCTTGGACAACCTTTTCTGACCAGTGGGCTGCATCTGACATGGCTCATCATAAGGCGAATGACACTACTAAAAAGATTCAAGGTAATTTTCATTGAAGCTGTCAGCCATTTTCATCACAGAAGATCATATATGTAAGCATCTGGCATAGAAATGGTGAAAGGTTGTTTTTGGAGAAAAGATTTCTCAATAATTAAAAAAAATAAAATCCTGTTATAATTTTATCACAGATGACAGTGGTTGACACACACTGTGTGATGTGATTTGTTTCTTATTTATTCATTTGAAAATACAAAAGTAATTTTTAAATTAAAATATATATTTCTTCTCTTGAGAAAAAAATATCTTTTTTCTCCAGAAAATATGGACTTGAGACGAAATTCCTACAAAACTTCAATATCTGAGTGGACCTTCCTTCAGCTTCGAGGGGTGGGCTGCTAACTTCCTAACTTCACTGGCCTCAATGACTCCTGATTTCTCACTACTGGTCCTTCTGTCACTGACCGCTGGGCAGCTCCAACTCTTCTGGTTACCTACTTCTGTTACAGCTGGACCCACTTTCCTCCCGACTTTCTGGATTTCTCTGCTTATATGGATAATCCTGGGGTCCCACCTACTCCATCCACTTGTCTTTCTGTAAGATTTAAAACCACTCCAAAGTTACATGACTGGTCAATCTTCAAAGGACTACTTTTATGACTATCTGAAATCATTTATAAAATTTTTATGTTTCCCAATTGAAAGTCAAACTGGAGAATGAATCCTGAAACACTAAGTTCGCTCAAGATGAACTGAAGACAAAATTCCTACAAAACTTCAATATCTGAGTGGACTTAAAAGGAAAGAATTTATCTTCTAAAGATGTGAGAAATCAGATTCTTACAATAGTTATTTTTTTTGTGATATAGTAAATAATAAATATTGCATTGTAGTTTGTCATATTTTTATAAACTTGTAAATATAAAATTATTGTAAATAAACAAGCTGATAAATAAATCGTCAAAGCTGCTGATAGGTATGCATCCTGTGTTCTTGAAGCATAAAAATTTTCAAAGAAACACTCGGTAA